TTTAAGATTACGTTCATGAACAACATAATTTCTTTTGTTCATTAAATTCGGTACCAACTTTTGAGTTTTATATCGCTTCATTCCAGCAGATTCAAGAATTGAAACAATTTCTTTTTGATAACTACTCAACTGATCATCATCAATTGTTATTTTCTCAGGGGCTAACGGATAATCATTATGTAAATCGTGTAGAGTAGAGGGATAATCCAAATCAACTTCTAATACATATCCTATTTCTCGCGTTATGTTAGATTCAAGAATTGATGAAATCACATCTTCAAATTGAGTTTCAGGAACCCATTCAAATTTTCCACATGGTAAAATATCAGACAGTGCATAACCATACAAGTTATTAACATCAAGATATGTAATGAATGATTCAGCTTCATTTTCTCTAAAAGTTTCAGAAAACTTGTTATTTGCTAGACAGTAGCGCAGCATTGAACATGATATTCCTCCTCGAATTCCACTTTCAAACATTAAAATCATGTCAATATCTGTCAAAAGATCCAATTCAGTTTGTGTTAGCTTAAGTGATGCATCCCATGTTAGTCCAGGCGTTGAAAAATAATGACAAGGATCAAGACCGAATTGCTCTAAACTTGTTGCTCTAAAGTTTTGAAAGACTGATGCTAGTAATAAAACATCAACTTTCAAGTAAATGTCATGAAAATCTCCCAAGTTTTTACAGTTAAAATGACTCCAGATGCTTGTTAATCTTTTATAGGTATCCGTGTCAATAGTTTTGAGTGATAGACTTGAGTAAAATGCTTCTCTCGGGGGTAAACTTTTTTCTTCAAACTTTTCCCATGAATCCATATATTCATAAGGTAAACGTCCTTTTGAGAACAAAAACGGCAAGTCATCAGTTGGGAACATTTGTTTTAAAAATTTTGTTTTCTCATCGTCTGACAAGTTGTTTGCTAATGCATCCAAACTTGAGAGAAGAAAGGCTAGACTGTCTAGAAATAGAAAATCATCCATTATGATTGCTATATATTTTTCAGTATTTTGTGGTATGACATGAATCTTTGACACCAAGTTTGTCTTTAGTCCACTGATTATTATATGTGCATCATATCCTTTTAAATTATGAAAAACTACAGGTATTTTTTGCGGTAAACGCATCATAAGATTGCATTGATTATGTGCAGCTCCACGAAACTTTCCAGTTAGGTGACAATGATCCAAAACTTTGTCAGCGAATAATTCTTTTCCACACACGTAACAGTCAGTTGCCTTTGCATAAGCTTCTCTTTCGAAATCGGTTAATGAAACGGGTTTTCTATTTCTATCCAAATGCTGATTGAGAATGATTCTCAAGTGGAACAATGTTTTGAAAAATTTCTCACAAACATTTGTTCCGCGATAAAATTTGTTGAACAGAATTTCATCTCTCCAGTCTACGGCAACTAATCCAAAAGAACATGCTTCATGCTTCTGGTACTCAAATGTATTTTTCGTAAGAGCCTTTTCTGATTTTACCAATAGGGCTTCAAAATCAGCGTAGATAACATAAGGATAAGCAATTGTTTTGTCCAGTCTTCTAAATTTACATTTTGTAGGTATTTTTCCTGTACCAGGCAGAATAGCTCTTTGCGGAGCTTTCTGGTAACACTCACGCTCATGATCTTTTAGCCTATCAGAGTTTCTGAATCCTGACAAACATGCGTAACAATAAAAACGCTCCCATGATTTACCACTTTTTATGAAGGCGTGAAAGTTTGAAATACAGTAGTAATGGTTCTTGTAAAAGAATAAGTTTGCATGTTTCTTTTGTTGACTTCGATTGATTTTTAACGGCACCACTTTTTCACTTTCATCAGGTGACAGCGTGTAAACATTAATTGATATGTTGTTTCGTCTTTCAAAGGTGTTGATTGCAGATAATGGTGTATTGCTATCAATATTACGAAAATCATATAGATGAGCAAAATTTTTGTAAAGCGTTATTCTACCTTTAGTCTTGGTATTTATTGGATGCAAAGCTATAAGGATTGAATACTTGAAACAGTCTTTACTACAAAGTGGTGAAATCAAGCTTTTCTTTTGTTTCAATGAAGGTGGTAGTTTGACGGATGCACATCCACCACTGTGCTCTTTAAGTTTACCAATCCGAATTTCTAATACTTTAACAGTCTGTAGTACCCATCCACTTCCGCGTTGAGTGAATTGATCTATTGATAGTTCTACCTCTTCCATCCATTCTTTTACCAACTCTTCGAAATTGATCATGTTAGTAAGACGATGCATTTGTGATACTTTATAGATTTCTGTTGTGTCGGTGTCACCATCAGGCTTTTGCTTTATGAATTTCATAAAGACAGGATTGAACTTTTATCGATCCAAGTTTTTCTATTACATACTGCAGTAAAGATCTTATATTTTCCTTTTCTCCTCGTAACATGTTTTCAATTGAAGTCCAATTATTTACTTTGATGTAAATAGCAAGCGTATTTCCATATCCAGTTTTATGCAGCTTGAATGTGGCATGATCTTTAAGCTTCAATGACTGATCTTGCTTGCACGTACTTAGATGATTCAGAAAAGATAAGCGGTTAAAATTTTGTTTACAATTTTTACAGCTTACTTTTACACATTTTGTTTTGTGTATAAGTAAATTTTTATGTTTTGAAAACTTTTCGCCACATTTATTGCACTGAAACATTTTACAATATGAACATCAAACCGAAAAACTTTCTCTTTAAATAAGAATTCAGATTGTAAAGGCGTTTTCTTGAGCTCTCTATTTTTATTTATCAGGAATATCTTTAATATAATAATAATAAGAAAAAAAAAATTTAAAGAAAAGCAATAATAATTATCAATTCATTGATAACTATTATTGCTTTTATTATGATTGTATGAGCAACGTAATCAAATGCCAGACGATCCAAAACCACGTTCACCTCTATTATCAGCATGCTCTTCCAGTGGAGTGCTTGGTAATTTTGAAAGTTCAACCAAATGAGGAATTTCCGCTTTTTCTATAATCATCTGTGCTATCCGCATTCCTTTTTTGATTATCAAGTTGTTTTCGGAAAAATTTTGCAAAATTACTTTGATTTCCCCAGTATAGTCAGGATCAATCACTCCTCCTTGAACAACAATACCTTTGGAAGCAAGCCCAGAACGGGAAGCAAGTCTAACATAAGTTCCATCAGGTGGTTTTACCGTGATTCCTGTTTTGACGACCGCAATCTTTTGTGGTTGTAAAACCAAATCTTCATAAGAACTCAAATCAAATCCAATTGATCTTGCGGTTGCCCTATCTGGAGTAGTAACATCTACATAACACTTGGTAAAGTACAAAGCTGAAATCATTTTTGAAGTGATTTTAAAGAAAAGAAACTGTTCTTTATATACTTATTTGCTCTCTCAAGTCATGCGCACTTATCAATAACATTTGAATGATAGAACAAGGCGTTTTTGAGAGCTCTTTTTTTATTTTTTATTTTTGTTAAGAATGCAATATGATAATATAAAGATAAAAATAAAGGGTTGCAACATTATAATTATGGTAAAGTAGATTTAAAAATAAAGGGTTAAAAATAAAGTAATAATGAGATAAAGATAAAAATAATTTTGATTGATAAATCAATCATGAGTAAAAACTCATTACTCATAAATGACTTGACACATGGCTGAAGCAATACCATCCGCAACTGAATGTGAAATCAATTTAATCATTTCCTCTCGAGAAAGTTCCATCTTTGATTCTTTATATTCCGTTTTGAGCTCAACGTGTAGACCTTCTTCTGGTGTGACTGATCCAAAAATGCGCCGTCCATTGTAGTGAGAAAAGTCAAACTTTTTCTCAATATTGTCCAAAACCATTTCCAATTTTTGTTTGAATTTTTCATATTCAGCATACTTGAGGAACAGACCTGCTTTCGTTGGTATCAATATCTTGTTTCCTTTCCATTGTCCTTCTTTTCTGCGCCGAATATCCACAAACATGTTGCCTTGAGATGTTTTAGATTTTTGGATAGTAATCCACAATTGAGGAGACACTTCAACGCTTAACAACTGTTCAAAACCATCTGCAAAGGATCCACGCTTGAAATTTTTTTTGTTGCTTGATGAAGAATTACTTCCATTTGAGTCCATGTTTTAAATCACTTTGAAATACAACTCAGAGCTGAATGATTAAAATATCAGAAACACTCTGTTTTTATACTTTTTCCTGATGGAGTTGACTCACTCATCAAGACTCACTTTGAAAATTGACTCCACCTTCCACGATGATTGATCTTCTGAATTTGTGTCAGTTTATTTTTATCAAATTTGCGTGATTATTTTGAAAATTAGGTTAAACTCATTATCTTTTACTTCGGGAATAAGATAATCAATCATATAAAATATTTCCTTGGTTGTAGTTTCCGCTGCATAATCAAACAACTGCTGTCTTAAAACGTCAATCGAATCATATTTATAAGCGTATTCATCGAAATTTATTCCGAAAAAATCGAGTGCGTAAGCAAGTTCAATTTTCTCATCAATATTCAAGTTGTTGTGAACAAGAATACTTGTCGAGAAGAAAGATAAAATTATATCACTATACTTCTCGTCAATTCTAGCTGTAAAAGATAGAGAATTTAGAATTTCACTATCAAATTGTGTAAAACTTACCTTTCAAAATGAAATTATTACCAACTGATCTTTTTGCTGGTCCAATAAGTGAACCTTTCAAGCTTTTAGTGAACTTGTTGTTGCTAAATTTTGAATTCAAGTGATGCAGGAAGGATGCGTTGAGAATCCTGAACTTAACATCATCCAACCATAATATAACTTCATCTGACTTTTGAAGTGAACTATTTACTATTTTGCTCATGTTGTCTGCAGAGTTAAGTTTTCTAATGAGAAGCTTTCTTCATGATCATTCTCATTTATACATGCCGCATATCGACCGAGTAAAAATAGAGAGAAAAAAATTAATAATAAATAATATTTAATGAAAAGAAGGAAGAAGAAGAAGAGAAGAAGACAATACAGAAATCTTTTCATTACATAATTACTTTAACATACAAATAAAATTCAAGCAAGGCCATTCTTAATGACCAATACTCTTGTAAATTGATAAATGGATTTTGCTTCATGTTTTTTATATAAGTTTTGACCTCAGCCATTAAAGCAGGAAGTCCATCAGCCAAGAGTTGACAGTCTTGTAACTTTTCCAGCCATGTGATGAACGTTTTCCTGGACTGACCATATAATAACCCACATGGATGATCCATATGCTCCATCATCCATATCAACTTCTTGGAATAAGGACCACGTCTTCTGATAAGCTGTTTGGGCCTTCGGGTTCTCAGATTATACTTGCTCATTTTGTTCCTATTAAAAGATATTAAAAGAAAAAAAAATACATTAAAGCTTGAATCAAATTGAAAAGATTTAGGTTTTAGGAACTGAGCAAAAAGAAAATGAATAAATGGTAAGTAATTTAAGAGATGACTTAGAAATATACCTAAGGTGAAATACAATTAATCCTCATTACAACTGCTGAGCGACAAACAGGACATAATAACATGTTTTTCTGTTTTAACCTTTCATTGCATGCAACGCATGTCACCAAATGGTTACAAGGAGAATATAAAACTTTCCGCGGCTCAACTAAACACACAACACAATTGTTCCTGTCGTTTTCATATTTGCTTGCTGTTAAAAATGGACAACCAGGGTAAAGATGTTTATGAATAAGTGATGGATTTGATCTTAACTTTCCATCAAAAGACAATGCACAGAAAGCACATTGAACAATGTAGCCAAACCCACAGTAAAAGAATCCTGATTCTACAAGAGTATTTGCTTCCAGAGTCGTGTATTTTGAATGTTGGAAAGAGAAAGTTCGATTTTCTCTCATTTGAAATAGCTGGTAGACTTTATTTGGATTAACCATCTGCTTGGATGTGACACTTTTGACAATTGTGTTGGTGCTTTGTTTCTCCAATCGAAAGATTTTGATTAAAGTTTGCTGGTAGTTGCACTCTATCCTTCTTGGTACACAATAATAGGCGAATCGAGAAGCAACATCGTACCAAACTTTCAATCCTAATTCTTCATGTTTTAAGTAAGCGCAGTTTAAACTGAAAGTACAATGGAGGTCAACAATGTTTAAATCTGCTAAAGATGTAGGTATGTGCAAGCCACAGCAGAAGCAAACGAAAAAAGCTTTATCATCCGATAGATAAAAGCCATCATATACCGCTGAATAAACTTTACTTCGCTTTAAATCGAACCCGGAAAAGGAATCAAATCTGTTTTCCAAAAACTTCATTCTCATGAATTTTTTAAGAGTTTGAAGAGCTTCAGGGCATGACCAGTTCTCAATGCTTGGAGTCAGCATATTGACTGTATGTAATAAAAACAATTTTGATTAATGTAAAATATATTTTATTAATTTTTCATAATTATATCAATTGAATTAGACTCAACTTCGATGTCTGATTTAATTTTTTTCATCAAACATGAATGCTCTTTACATTTGCTCATATTGAGTCTTTTGAATTTACAATTTAAAATCCAATCAGTGATTTGTTTCACTCGTGGACATTTGTTTTCATTATTAAAGATACATAAATTTGTTTTATTTAGAGTATGATTTTTAACAGTATTAATTATTTTTTTCCTATCGATTTCTTTTATTTTCCTGATTTTAGTACAGGATTTACAATGAATGGTTTTAATTTCAAGTTTTTTATGTAATTTTTTTAAACAGTTTACATATTTTGAAGCTTTGCATTGATTGTTTGTGCTTTCGGTAGCACAGGCTTCATTTGTTGGTATTTTCAATACCGTAAAACTAATTTTTGATTGTTGATGTTTCCAAAAAGCATCATCTTTTGAAGGAATTCTTTGACCCTTTCCAACCGAAGGTGTTACAAAAGGAACTTTCCCAGCAATTATTTTCATTACTATAATAGCGAAATGAAAAAGAATGAATCAAAACGAAATAAAACTATAAATAAATGCAATTTAATCAGTTAGGCAGATAAGATAGAATTGGTGCAACAATTGAACTTGGAAATTCAGATAAAATGTTGAAGAATAATCTTCTAGATACAAAAATATTCTTTTCATCATCGATTAAAGATATGCAAGCAAGTATACTATGCACATGACATTCAGGAATCAATGATAAAATACTAAAAAAATCAAAGATTGAAATTTTGATGTCAGCAAAGTTAATCGGCTCCTCATATTCAATAGCACATTCATCATTTGTTTGCATTGTTTCATCAGCCTGAACCTCAACATTTGAACATCTGATAAATTTGAGGGAAGTTGGAGATGAACCAGCAGTAACTCGATACATTTCTAAAACAAAAAACAAAATGAACAAAATGAGTAAGAAATGTAATTTTTTCCGAGTTAATGTTAAGTCAAAACTCAATTCTAATCCCAAAATCGAAAATCAAAGACAAACTCAAAGTCAAACTCAAGGTCAAACTCAATAATAATCTGAAAGTCACTTTAAGCCACTAGATACAGATTCTAGACACTTACATACAATCAGTCCAACAAAAGCTATGTAAAACTTGGAAAAAAAAAATTTGACCTTGAAAAAGACCTGCGTGACCTTGAAAAATGGAAAGATAATTTTGAGTTGATAATTTATTATCAAAGAAGTACACCTTTATCTCTTACTGTTTTCAAGTTATAAGCCAAAGAAAATCGAGTTTATCATAGTCAAATTTGTCACAAAAGGATAACTTTTCAATGGTAAAAGCTAGGTAAAATTGATAAATACAAAAGTTGTGTATCTTGATCAGAGGAATCTAACGCACTTTAGTGCGAAAAGATCAAGCGAGTAATAAAAAAGTTATGAGCAATTGAAAAAATGCAGGGTTAAAACTCGATTTTCCCATAGAAGGAGTGATTTTTTCGAATTTTTTTCAATGGCCAACTTCTTCAGACCGGAGGTCTGAGAAAGTTGGTCTACCCATAATAGGTCTAGAATAGTTATAAATACTTTTTTCAGAACTCATTTATCACATGCCATTGATTTTCTATGCATTTTCACGCAATGATAAAGTTAATCTGTAGGTTATCCTAATTTAAAACAATGCCTAACCTAATCTATTGTTGAAAGTCAATCTAAAACGATTCTAAGGTTGGTTGCAAATGCAATTCGTATGATAAATCAAAGTTAAACCCCATTTGGTAGCTATTCTGAACATATAGTTGATCTTAATTGTAATTTCAGTAATAAATCAATATGAAACTTAATCATATACCTAAAGTCAATCTAAACAGATCTCAATACAAAGGTTGGTCGCAAATGTAATTCTTATGATAAATCAAAGGTTGTACACATTTGATAGCTAATCTCAATCATAAGGTTGATCTAAAAGGTAATCTTGAGTCTCTATTGTTACACACTTGTTACTCCAGACACAAAAGCCAATACACTAAACATTAGAATAATTTAATTGATGTTAAGAACTACATTCAACTGTTTCATGATTGTCACTAAAATGAAAGCAGCAATTACAAGGCTGATAAGAGTAGCATCCTTTTCTGTCCCCCTTGATATAGCTTACGGTTTTATTGAGTTCATTGTAGCGACATTCCATGCAACAAGGGTACTAAATCTTTCTTTCAAACACAATTTGAACCACAATTTATAAGATAAGCGATACTATTTTCCATGGTTAACTTATATATGTCAATTTGAGTCAGTTTAATACAATAAGAGTAAGATATCAATGAAGATTGATCCTAAAAATCTCAATGAATCACTTGAGAGCAAATGCTAATTCAAGTACTAGTATATTCATGATTGTAAAAACTGATCATTGATTAGTTAATACATTATCTAAACGCAAACAAATTGTCATCCATTGGAAAAAGCAGTGAAATTCGATAGAATCGTGATTGAAAAATGTACATATTTGGTGTGTTGACTTCTGATAAATCAAAGTTGAGTCATTTACATGATTACCTTCTTAATACGGATTTATCTGTTTATACGACTTGCTCAAAGAGGTGAACGCATACTTCAACGAAATATGTAAGCAAGATCTGTTTATCTAGGATGACTAGTTGGTGAGAAATCGGGAAAAGACTAAAAACAATGAATATACAAATAGAGACTACAAAGCTCACATCATTTTATCACCTCAATATCATCAAAAGCAGATTCAATCAAACATGTTAACTTACTTTAATTTGTTGATGTTGAAAATGATTGAGAAAAATATCGAAGTTTTTGCAAGGCCAATTTTGGGACAATACCAATGAATCTCAGAATGATAGTATCCAATTCGCAACAATAATCCGAGGTGGTAGTAATAAGCTGGTTAAAAGATAAAAAATGGCTTAATGGAGATGGTTTTTCCAATTGTCACACACAAAAACTCACCTTCGTTAGATATTAAACACAAAAACTGAGAAAACTTAGTAAGTAGAAGATGAACACTTTTAAAAAGCAATGTTGCTCAATTGATGACGATAAACTGATACAACTGAATAGTTAAAGGATCAAGGCTTTTTAAAAGCAATGTTGTTGAATTGTTGGACAAAAAAGGAAGAAAACTAAGTAGTCAAAAGATAAGCAGTGTTGTACAATCGATGGACGAAAAACTGAGAAAACTAAGTAGTTAAAGATGAACACTTTTAAAAGCAATGTTGTACAATCGATGGACAAATCATTTGTGGCTGCAAAGAAAAAATTTACCCTATCCTTCCGCATTTTATACTTTTCTTTGGCACTAAAATTTCCATAAATTAATTGATTTAAGTTATTTTTGGTTGTGATTGATTGAACTAGGATACCAGGATGTATAAATATGTATGCAAATCCTTAAATCATAAATATAAATAAAATAAGCTTTAAAGGGTTAAAAAGACACAATTGTGTCAAAAACGTGGATAGAGATCCAATGTCAATCAAATTCAACAGGTCAAAAGTTGGAATTAAATTATTAATATTCATATAGTTGTTTTGATGCATATTCAATGATTACTTCCTTTGCAATGATCGATAATCAATCAGAGATCAATAATTGACAAGCTGAATAATGGGGTATCTTGTGTATCTTTATTACTACTCTGATTACCTCTTCAATATGCCTTGGATGTTTGCTGTCGATTGTCCAACTATTCCTATCAAGTCTGTCAATCCGATTGAGCTATATAATGGTCCTCCTCTTCGTTCAAGATATTCAGTTCGTGATCCACCAAATGTTTGGGAAGAGTTTAGGAGATTGACCCAAAAATCTGAATTAGAAATGGAAAGTGAACTTGAAAAGTTGTTCGCTCATTTTAATGTTGAGTTTAAACCGGTAGACTATGCACAACATTTGGGAATCTACATTTTCCCTGGCCCTTTAGATTACCATGAATTGGGTCCACCAAAAGAAAACTGGGTTCGTCTTGACTCATCCATTCGCGCACCCGAAACATCAAATTTTGAGTTACCAAGTAGTAATAAAGATACACAAGATACCCCATTCTCATTGATCTCTTATCGATTATATTAATAATTCATAATCTTAATCCATCCATCAATCAAATTGATCTACTCATTATGCAGAAATTTGCTGAAAAACTATTTTTATCAATCTGAATCTTTTTTTAGTAAATTAAATATGTCAGTAGTTCATTCTTCTGGTTTCGTAAGATTTAAAAATAACTGATATGATAATATAACCTAGTTTTTGAGTATAAATTCAAAGTTTCATATTGAATTTTATTCATTCTTATTTGTGTCTTACTGAAGATGATTCAAAATTGTGCTGAGTTTATACCCATCATGCATTTAGTAGCTCATCCATCTGGATTCTATACTTATGATGGAATACCTTCAGTCAACCCGCAGAATCGTGTTATCATGGTTGAACTAAGTGAAGATGATACAGATAGAGAACTTACGCGAGAAGAAGAAGATATATTGGAAATGACAGTTCTTTCAGCTGTTGAAATTGATGAACCTGTTCAAACAGATGCTATTGGTGATGCTCAAAGACCTCTTACTGACCTTATCGAAGTGGATGGCGATGGCTTGTCTCGAATGAATCGAGTTTCACCTGTTGTCTTAGACGATGTCGATGATATTGAAGTAGATGATGGTGAATCAATTCAAAGAAATTCTGCAAATCACGCTGCAGTTGAAGCAATAGAGAACGATGATGTAACTGGCATTTTTCGAAATGAAACAGTGGGAATCAGATACGTTGCTGGTGGTCTTTCTGAAGACGAACGAATATCGATACAAATGGCTGCTCTCGACGGTGTTCCATTTGTTGAACGTAGAAGCATTGATCGTATTGAAGTAGATGATGCTGGTCGAAGTAATTATAATCGTGATTCATTGAGATCGGCGATAAGAAATGTAGTTGGTACAACTATCAATTACTTTGCGAATCACGTGGTTGCTCGCTTTCCACAGTATGTGACTATTGAAAGTCGTCTTGCTACTTTTAAAGATTGGCCGAATCCAGCTATTACACCATTAGAATTGGCTGAAGCTGGTTTTTTCTATTCAGGACAATCTGATCTTGTTACTTGTTTCCACTGTGCTAATTCACTTTTGGAATGGATAAAAAACGATAATGCTTGGGTTAATCATGCACTTTTTTCACCTTGTTGTACTTTTATATACATCATGTGTGGGGTACGATTTATTGAATCAGTCACAGGTAGAAATGATTCTGTTAGACCTGTAATCACAAAAGTAGAACCAGCAAACAGTAGATATACTTGTAAAGTTTGTCTGGAAAAGGAAGTAGGCTGTTGTTTCTATCCTTGTGATCATGCAGTAACATGCATAGATTGTACCCCAGGTGTCGCTACTTGTCCTTTGTGTCGTTCTTTTGTAGCAGGAGTATTTAGACTTAAGTTCATTGATTAAAAATTTTATTTACCATGAGATTCTTGCAAGAGAACATTGAAGTTGTCAATCTGGTCACTTGCTTTAAATTGAATTCAAAACTTTGTAGAAAACAAATAAAAGATACTTTTCAAGGTATAAAGTATAAAAAATCATTTCCGGGAGGTGTGCTTAAGTATCCTGATGGGTGTCTGCTTGTCTTTGACTCTGGAAGAATCAATGTGACTGGTGTTCAAAATATTGCGACTGCAAGTGTTTTAATTGATCGATTTTGTGCTAAGTACCCTCAAGATCTGCAGTTCACTTCTTTCAAAATAGTTAACATCACTGTTTGCACAGAGATAATTGGTGATTTTGACTATAATAAACTATTGTTACACCCAAGAAGCACTTACGAACCAGAGTTATTTCCAGGTATACACCTGAAGCTGGACGATTCAAACGTTATTTACATAATTTTTTGGTCTGGAAAAGTTATAATAACAGGATTGAAGGACTATAATTCAATTTGGCATTATTGCGATGAATTTGACTATAATATAAGACTGAAGTCAATATAAAGATAAAGGTTTTAAAATTTTTCAGTAAAATTTATACAATGGAAATGTCTCCGGCTGATCAACATAGAATGTGGTACAAAAAAGTACTCTTTTCTGTACAATTGATGGTATTGGTTGCCATGCTTATAACAGCCATAGCTAATATTGTTTTGAAAACTGGTAATTTACCACTCTGGACCGCTGTACTCGGATCTTCTCTTGGATATCTGCTACCAAACCCAAGACTAGGATCTTTCAAGTCTGAAACCCCGATACAAACTCCTTCTAATCCATCATCAGTTGTAATTTGAAAATCTCAATATAAATAATAAAAACAATTTATTGAAGTAAATGTCTGTCTCTATTTATTTGAAACACCCTTTTACAATGTTAATAGCAGGACCAACCGGTTCTGGTAAAACTTATTTCATCAGGGACATGATCAACAAAGCAGCATATATTTGTGATCCACCACCAAAGTCTATTACTTATCTTTATGGAGAGTATCAAAAAGTGTTCAATTCAATGAATGCTGTGAAATTTATCGAAGGACTACAAGAAGAAGTGATTAATGAACTCGGTAATGATGAACCACAGTGGGTAGTTATAGACGATTTAATGTCAGAGGCAGTGAATCAAACTTTTGTTAGTAACTTGTTTACCAAAGGGTCTCATCATAGAAATATTTCAGTAATTTTGATTACCCAAAACTTTTTTATGAAAGGAAAAGAGAGTCGAAACATAAGTCTCAATAGTCAATATGTTGTATGTTTTAAAAACCCTCGGGATAAATCTATGATTACAAACATAGGACGTCAAATGTTTCCGACGAAAATAAAGAAATTTCAAGGTGTCTATGAAGATGCAACTCAGGGTCCATATTCATATCTTTTTATTGATCTTAAACCTGATACACCTGAAAAAATAAGGTTATTAACGAATGTTTTCAATGAACATGATAAACCCATGTATACGTATGTGATATAAATTATATAAAGGTCAAATAATTTTTGTATACAACATAAATGTCGATTGAAGGTGTTAAAAAGTGTCTTCCGACATTAAAAAAGCTTGCTAAAGCCAAGACTAGAAAACAAAGAGAAAGACTTTTAGCTGAAGCAAAATCTTGCATTTACTACGCAATTTCTGAAATAAGTAAAAATACCCTCAACGGACATATACCAATTCAAGACTTATCTCGAACGAAACTTGAACCTTACAAATTTGAACTTAGAAAACTTTCAAGAAAAAGTATCCCCCTCAAGAAGAGAAAAGAAATTATTTTACAAAGCGGCGGTGCATTTTTACCTGCATTACTTTGGCCAGCAATATCTTATTTAGGAGGAAAGTTGGCTGATAAATTTATACAATGAATGTAATCAATAAGATGGTTGTCATTCCAGAAAAAGAATATAATCTCCTCAAAAGTGATAGTAATATTGTTGAAAATGTGCCTGCTATTGAGGAAGTGTCAAAAGTGTCGAAAATTGAAGAAGATAAAACTGATTCTAAAATTGATTTGAATGAATATAAAGAAAGCTTCAAAAGAGCGGTTCAAAAGTATGAAAATAAATTATCTAAAAGACCTAAAAAGGTTAACAAAGTTGTGAAATGTCAGACAATCAATTGGACCAACGTGAAGAACTTTTGAATCAACTTTATTATGACTTGGATAGTCATGGTAGTTTCGGAGGTGCTAAAAGACTTTTCAGAGTTGCGAAGGAGCATGACCCATCGATTGAATACAATGATGTAAAACAATGGTTGATGAAGCAAGAAACGTATACAAACTTTCGGATACGACGGAAAAAATTTCAAAGACTAGCTGTATTGGTTGATAGAATCGATGAGCAATGGCAAGCAGATCTTATGGACATGTCCTATTGGTCAGGGCAAAACGATGGAGTCAATCATTTGCTTGTTGTGATTGATATACTGAGTAGATTTGCATGGGTACAACCGTGTAGAGATAAAGCAGCACCCACAATCATAAATGCTTTTTCTGAAATTTTTGCTTCTGGAAGAAAGCCTGAAAAACTACAAACGGACCAAGGACGAGAATTCAACAATAACAGGTTCAAATTTTTTTGCACGTCTCAGGGTGTACATTATTTCACCACAACTGACGCTTCAATAAAATGTGCTTTAGCTGAACGTTTAATACGAACATTACGTTCTCGTATATACCGTTTCATTTACCATAAACATACACATCGTTACATTGATGACTTACAAAACATTGTTGATAATTACAACAACTCTTACCACAGAACTATTAAGACAACTCCAAACTCTGTAACACAAGATAATCAACAATCTATCGTGCAAACTATTCAGAGATCAATAAAAAATGAAGATAATAAAAAGAAAACTTTCAATGAAAATGACTTTGTTAAAATTCCATTAAATACTGGCAATTTCGAAAAAGATGCAGTACAGAAATGGACTGATGAAGTGTTCAAAGTTTCAGGGGTTAAAGAAACGCCTCAAAAATTCATCTATAAATTGAAAGATTTACAAGGTGAAAATATATCATCAATTTTTTATCCTGAAGAATTACAAAAGGTTGATTTTGACCCTAATAAAGTGCGCAGAGTTGAAAAGATAATTCGGAGAGTTTATGACAGATCACGAAGACAATATAAGTACTTAGTCAAGTGGGAAGGCTGGCCAAGGAAATTCAATAGTTGGATATCCGATATCACTCTTGCAAATGACAACAATTAACTTTACAATTGACCTAGTGTCAAATGGGTCTACAGACATCTTTCCAGAAAATACATTATCAAAATTTCAAAATCAAATTGATCCTGCATTGGAACTTGATGGTGATTGGGAAGTTGCATTAACAGAAATTTATTTTCCCATCAAATTTGCTATTGATATATCAGAGAAAATGCAAGTTAATTTTAACCTTTTGTATACAAAGTTCACCTTTTACCCAAATATCGACTTGAGAAAGGTATACCCTCCTGACAAAAAGTGGATGCAATATGCGACTGCGGGTGGTGGTTATGAGTCATCTGTTGATATTTTTCCAGATGAACCTGTGAATGCGATATTAGATAAACTCAACACTGCAATGATGGCAAATTTGAAAAGTCTCAACTCTGAACTTGTTTTCGATCCCTATCCTAAATTCGTTTGCGAAAATGGGAAAACAATCTTCTATCCTGGTCTTCTCACTACAATAGAGGATAAAGCTACCCCGCTTAATGTTTATTTAAATGGTCCTGTTGATGAGATAAAAGCAAAATACAAAAAAGATTATAACATTGATTTAGAAGAGATAGGCACGCTGTCAACTAAAGAGGATATGTTACCGTTGAGACATTATTACAAAAACATACTTATTGATGATATGAACGTTTTTAATGCTTTAAGTGGAGAGAAAACTGAGAAATATAAAGAAATTATATCTAGTGTAGTTGTTCCACAATTTTCAGACGGCAAATTAATGGAATATTTAGGCTTTCCTCCATCAGCTAATGCTTTAATCGATAATATTGACCCATTTAAACAGCAAGTTGAAGTGACAACACCTCTTTATCACAAAAACAATGTCAATCTGATGTACGTTTATACTGATATCATACGTGATCATGCGGTTGGAGGAACTAAAGCACCTGTATTGAGAGCAGTACCACTGACGACTGGTATCTATCAAGGAATCGGTTATTGTACATTTGAGCATCGAATATATTATCCAGTGCGGAAAAACCATATTGAAAATATTGCGATTTATTGCTTGGATGATACTGGAGAGCAGATTAAATTTGCAAACATTGGAAGAGTTTTTGTAAGCTTAGATTTTCGTAAAAAGAATTAATATAAAGAAAACAATGTGTTTAAATGATGAATTTATTAAAATGATTCAAAGAAAAACTTACTGTCCTAAAGATAGTGATTTCAATGACTATTTTGCACATCAAGTCGGTTCTGGATTCGGTGACATTAGAATAGTCAGAGGTCCTAGGTATCAAAGA